TACATTATTTATTATTCATCTATTTCAAATGCACGAGAGATTAATAACGATATGAAAGCTGTTACACCATGCAAAAACTGATTACACATTGTTCACTTTAAAGTTATATATTAAAATCTGGACAATTAAAAAAATTATAGGTGAAACTACTGTATGTATTAATGCATGCAAGAAATATGAAATGGCATATATCTATGTTACCTTTTTTTTAAGCTTACACATTTTACCCTCATTTTCCAAATAACATAAAACAGGAACTCCTGTTGGGCCCACCAGTGGCTAATAGTAAAGTCGCTGAACATGGGTAGTTTGGTTCGAGGTTCGAGTCCCGCAAACAGGCTGGCTGCATGGGTGTTTCATAGTTTTCCCCATTAGTAACATGCATACGAGCCAGCTTTCCTTAGAAAGTTCTCCATGAAAAGAAGACATTTATAACATTAGCAACATGTATATGAGCCAGCTTTCCTTAGAAAGTTCTCCCCTCAGGCAAATAGGCCTCGAAGCTTCGCCGTAATCACATAAACAAAACAAAACCAATTAGAAACTTCTGTAACATGACCTCACTTTTTTTTAAAATTTTATTTATTTATTTTTTGGCCTTGTCTTATTAAGATTTCCCAATCTTATTCTAGGACTATTACCATAATTTCCCAATTTTATGTCTTTTAAATGCATGATGATCTCAGTCTTAATTTTCACCTCAGCTTAGAAAATTAATTTCTTTTCAAATCAAACATATTATTTCCCACTTTCCATCAAGAAGTCATATAGCTGCCCATTTTCAATTTATACGTAGCGTATTCAGAAACTAAGTACCGTTTCATTCTAGCACCGTCGCAGCGCTGTGGTAGGCGTCCCGCGCATGCGCACTAGTCTTTCTTGTTCACTGACTTTCAATTGTCGCCATTTTGGTTGCTCAATGTTGTGTTTTCAGTTTGCTGTGCACATTCAAAATGTTTAAGACAATTAGTTCTCCCGCTGACTGTGAGATTTGTGCCGTGATTAAATTTTTGAACACGAGGAATGTTAAACCGGCCGAAATTTATCGTCAAGTGACAGAAGTTTTACGGTGAATACGCAATAAGTGATGGAATGGTGAGAAAGTGGGTAAGAATGTTTAATGCAGGTCGAACAAATGTCCACGCTGAGGCTCGGAGTGGTCAGCCTTCTGTTGTCACTGATGATTTGGTAAGGAAAGTTGATGAAGCAATATTCATGAGAACAGACGCTTCACAATGACAACTCTTTCAGAGGCATTTCCACAAATTTCACGTACTGTTTTGTTCGAAATTGTGTCTGAACGCTTGAATTATCGCAAACTGTGTTCCCGATGGGTTCCAAAAATGCTCACTGATGTTCACAAAACAAAGCGACTTGGTAGTGCCCTGACATTTCTCACGTGGTACAGTGATGAGGAGAAAAACTTTTTAAACCAAATTGTGACAGTGATGAAACTTGGGTGTGTCATTTCACACCAGAATCGAAACAACAATCGATGGAGTGGAGACACACTCATTCTCCGAAAAAACAAAAGTTCAAAGTGACAATGTCATCACAAGAAATCATGTGCACTGTCTTCTGGGATAGGAAAGGCGTTTTGCTTACTGAATTTCTTCCCAGAGGTGAAACCATTAATGCGGCACGATATTGTGAGACTTTAACAAAACTAAGGCCTGCCATTCAAAACAAACGAAGAGGAATGCTCAGTAAAGGAATTGCACTGCTCCATGACAATGCTCGGCCCCATACTGCTGGTGTCACTCAATTGTTAATTTAACAGTTTCATTGGGAGCAGTTCGATCACCCGCCGTACAGCCCGGACTTGGCGCCGTCCGACTATCACTTGTTCCTGCACATGAAGCGTGAGCTTGGTGGCAAGCGCTTTGGATCTGATAATGGATAAAATGCTGTGGATCGAAACTAGTGGGAAGTTTCTTTGACGATGGTATACAAAAACTGGTCACCCACTATGACAAGTGTTTGATCATTGGTGGAAACTATGTTGAAAAATAGTTTAAGACATGTATTTTTATGTAAAAATAAAATTGGATTCGAAAAAATTGTTTTACTATTTTTTTTTTTTTTTTTCAAAAAACGGTACTTAGTTTCCGAATACGCCTCATAGATAATTTTATTACAATGAAACCTTTGGCATTCACCTCTGAAACTGAGCAAGTAAATGATACATTTGAGAAAATAAACAAGCGCAAATATTATCACCGATAATCATATTCCTTAAGACAATCACTCAAAGAAAACTGAAAATGGTACAGCCAAGGGTGATCATCATAGAATGGCTTCAATACATTTAGGTTTTAACTTTCCAAAGCTTTAAAACTACTCCCATTGAAAATTCAAATATTTAGGAGGAAAACTCTATAAATTTTATAGAAGAATATTGGTACTGTTCATTAAATGATTTAGCGATTAAAAGAATATTCACTGTTGATATTAAAATTCATATATTAAATTTCAAATTGTGTAAGAAATAAAGAGTTCTGGTTGCTATACTGATAATTACAGCAATGAACATAACAATCACTCGCTCTGAAATACATACTGAAAATTTTAAGAGATATGAGTTTTAGTATAGAAAAGCTTTAAAATGCCATACAATCTCTTAAAAAATCAAGTATACTACTAAAATTTAATAACTTCATTAACTTGGATAAGGACTTTGGGAAAATTTTGGAAAATCCTAATTCCTTTTTGTTTTGGGAAAAATTTCTGCTAGTCATCTTTTGTAAATTAACGAATAGCCCATTTTTTAAATTTTAGAACTGTATCAACATTACAGAGGTGATAATTTATTGAAGAAATACACATCTTAACCTCTTATTGTAGGTATCTTACAATAGATATGGAATTCTACAATAGTTGTAAGTTTTGCCTTTACAATAGTTTTGTGTTATGTTTCATTTCACTTATTATTTGAAGATAAAATATCAGTTGTTGAACTCGGCAAACTATCGGTGCACTATTCTTTCATAGCAAAAGTCCAATTTGAATGCACTATTAACATCTCCAACTATTTCAGTAACTAACAAATCCTTTCCTTTGGAATAGAGAGAGAACTTTTATAAAAGTGGCAAAATTCAATTAGATTGATATTTATTTTAGGGATATACAAATAATTCATGAAAATTTTCTAACTTGTATATAATAATTTTAGGGGAATACACAGAACATTTTCTAACATTAAAATTAATGCCAAACACTAAAAACTTGATGTTATATATGGAACATGAATAAATGGAACCCAACAAATTCTACACATACTACACTCAAATAAATAAAAGACACAAGACAACAAGAAACTGAAAACCATTTTAAGGAAAAAAACTTGATTATTTATTTCATGCAATACATAAAGAACACAAAATGCAATAATTTCACATCACAGAGGTTAAGTATATTTAAAATAGCCTTGCAATTAAAATTAACATAGAAGGGTTAATACGGTAAAAGGAAATCATGCAAAGTGAATTAATTGAAAGAAGAGTATAAATCTGTAAATAAAAATAATAGATTATAAATGAAAATAAATATACATATAAACTTTCTAAAAAATATACTGAGAAGAACTAAAGCATTGCTCCCAATTAATTCAGAGATTTAGAGATCTAATCCATTATTAAAATATCTATATATATATTATTTGGTGATCTAATGGGTGATTACATAATATATATATATATATATTATATATACTCATAAACAATTAAAAAATCATACGTAAAATATGTCTTTAATTTAAATATGCTAGAAATGCTTGAGAAACTGATCTATTGAATTTACTTTTTAATCAAATAAAGATTAATGTATAACAAGGTTAAAACACATACACACACACACATAAATAAATAAATAAATAAAAAAAGTGTCAAATCACAGAATATAAAATTCTCTCTTTATACTTTGTTACAGGTTACCTACGTACACTTCAAATGTAAAACACAAAAAAAATGAGAAAGTTTCCTTATTCTTCTCGGCATATAAACACAATTACAAGCAAAAACAACTGGTATGGATACCGTTATGATGATATATACTTACTGTATATCATAACATATCAAAAACAACAGATATGGATACCATTATGATGATATATACTTACTGTGTATTATAACATATTGCAGCTTACATATTTACGGTTATAATGTGCCATTTTTCACTCATTTTATTTGACTAGAATCCTCGATGGCAAAAGATGATAAGTCTTATGAGGCATTAAAGGTAAGATTAGATTGCACTGGCTTGAATTCTTAAACCACAATACAGCATATAGAACACTATTTGCTAAAAGATACAGGACTTATTAAGTGAAATGGCCAGTATCTATGTTATACATATAGTAAACCACAGGGAAAAAATAGCTGGCACTCACTGCCAGAAATAGAATTTGGAACAAACTACACTAATGGCTTTAAATACGCAACCACTAGTACTCAAATGAAGGGCTAAATTGAAAATATTTATTTGTTACGTACAGTGAAAAAAAGCACTACTTGCTCATACAATATTTATGAAATATTCTACTGCAGCATATTGCTTCAACAATTATATACAGCATAATACAAAGAACCATTTATTGCATTAAAATTATTGCTTGCAGAAATAAACATATAAAAAGATGTAATCCTTATATAAATTCTTAATAACATACATATGAGAGAGAGACACTTTTCCATTATAAAAATATTTATCAAAAATAAGAAAATCTGTTATAAAACAAATTTCAAAGTCACATAAAAACACAGAATTTATAACTAAGCTATAAGCTATTGCATATTTATTTTTGTTATAACTTTCAGATACTTTTCACTCTAATACACAAAAATAAAATACAGATTAATCGTAATACTGAAGTTAAATACAAATGGTGCATACATTTCACCTACAAGTACTGTATAACCACATATTTACTGGCATTAATACAAGATGTTAAAAACTACTATTTTATGCATAACTAAATCATTTTTACAAACGAAAGAACTCACTGGTATTGTCTTGCGGTGTTAAAGGTCGATCAATGACACTTTGTAATGCCTTCATCCACTCTTCTCGGTCCTCTTCTTTCTGAACCCCTAAAAGATAGATCCGATCACGAGTCCGTAATGTGAAACCATATCCTTGCTCCTTCATTCCTGGTGGAACTCCTTTTTTTACTGCGAAACCATCAGCATGATAACCAAGGAAAACTTCTCCTTTTGGATATGGATCCTAGAGTTGTTCAAAAGGCAAGATTTTAAATTAAAAAATTTAACAAATTACATTTTTAATATTTTTAAATGTATGAAAAGAAAGAAAACTAAAATTCTACCAGATTCTTAATTTATGCAGAAAAATTTTGGATATTTCCGATTTTTTCATGATTTCTTTTATGTTAAAAATAACAGAATTATTAACATTCAATTCGCAATATATTACACAATTTTCAACATTAGTGATAAAATTCAAATTTGGCAAGATTTTTGGAGAGTGAAGAACTCTGCCATATAACCTGCAAAAAATTTAGTTTTGAAAACAATTTAGATCTTATAAATATTTTTCACACTAGGAATCAAAACAGAAAAGATGATGAAAAAAAAAAAAAAAAAAACTTTTTTTACAGGCAATAAAATTTTATGCCTAAATTACAAAGCAGAAGCAAAATAGCTGCTTAATCATGGTAAATGCATTTAATGGAAACCAAACTATACACTTTAATGAACCATCAATATTGACATAAAACATAAAATTTTAGTTATAGAAATATGCTAAAAATATGTATGGCAAAAATCTTAGAAATTCATTGTTTTCTTGAAATATCAAGACATTATTATAGTTATTGGAAGAAATATACCAACATAACTAGAAGCACTTTATGTATAAAAAGAGTAAAAGATCATGGTTTATTGCAATGCACAATTTCTTGGACCAATCAGTATGTACAGCATTTTAAACAGATGCTCACGACACTTGAGCTCAACACAACACTAGCAAGAGGATATAACTGCAAAACTGTTCAAACTAGTACCACGTAAAAATTGCACACATTAAAAAATTTTACCTTTCTTTAACTTATCTGTGTATCTTTTATGGTAATAAATGATTACAGACCAATATTTACATATTTTTATAAGACAAATAATTTTAGAAGATTTAATGTTCAAAAATTTTCTAACACTCATGCCCCAATTAAAGAGTACTGAAAATCATTATTCAACCATGAACACATTTAAAAGCAATACATATTATTTAAAATTACACATATATTTAAACTTTTACATATATTATTATTATAATTGAAAAATGACTAATATTGTTAAAAAAACTGGTCGTCAAAATTAAAGGATAATGAAAAAAATATGCTTACTAAGTTATTGTTGCAACCAATCCCTAACGCTGTAATTATTTATGTTAATTTAACACAACTGAACACAAAATTGCACTTCCGTGCATATGTTAGCGACAGATATATATGCAAATTCGGTGATTGACAAGGTGGTGGCAAGGGATGCATGTTGGCTATCGGTCTGTAGTGTTATCTAAAATGAATGTGGTTTCTGAGAGTTATCAGTATGTCAGTAGTTATGGTTTAAAGGTATCATTTAAGTGAAGGTCAAAAGTGGTGAATAAATGGTAGAATCAAGGGAGGTCAAACACAAATGGAAGTCGTCCAAGATTTGAATATCCCTCGAAGTGTCATACCAAGAGTTAGGAGACGCTTTTTAAGCACTTTAATCAGTGCTCCGTGTTCTATCACTATTGCCACGACAACTACAAGAGATTTGGTTTCAGACCTTCAGGCAGTCACAAAAATTTGAATTAGCCATTCTACTGCTGCATGAAAGCTTAACGTATTTCAGCTTATGAAATGTATGAAAGCTTAACGTTATTTACATACAGTTGGACTGTATGCAAGAAAACCAACGATTGTGTCCCACTCACTCCAGCTTACCGAAAGGTTCATTTAAACTGATGCCATTGTCATGTTCAAAGGCATCATGATGACTGGGCCCAAGTATTGCTTACTGAGGAGTCCAGATATAGTCTGAACAGTGATAGTCTACATATAGTGATTCTAGATGTGGAGAGAGTGAGGAACATGCATCTTGCCCTCCTTTGTCCATAACATATCCTCTTTCCGCGACTGCATTTTAATGGTTTAGGGAAGAATCATGACAAATATCTGCACCAAGCTCATATCTTTCAAGGAGGTTCTGTAACCAGTCGGAGATATGTGGATGAGGTATTGGAACCCTAAGTTAGACTGTTTAGGGTGCTATTGGACCAGAGTTTTTGCTAATGAATAACAATGCTCAACCTCATCGAGCATATGTGATGTCAAAATCCTTGAAAACAGAAGATATCAGTTGAATGGATTGGCAACTGTACTCACCCAACTGAGCACGTGTAGGATGCCTTAGGAAATTGAATTTCAGAATACCAAATTCCTTCCCGAAGCCTCCAAGAGGTGAAGATTGAACTTTTAGAAGAGTGGCATGCAATTCCACAAGACCTAGTCAACACTTTGGTAAAGTCTATGAAATTATGATGTGAAGTATGCATAACTGTCCAAGGTGACAAAACAGTATATTAAAGAAAATTTTTTCCATAAGAGTTGAATTAATTTTCCAATCATCTTCCACTTTCAATAAATGTGGTTTCAATTTCAATATTTTGTGAGTAACAAACTACCAAACATTGTACTTTATGTTAACTAATGATTTTGTACAAATTCCTATTAATAATTTTTCATTAAGTATCAGTTACATTTTATTTCTGTCATTATTTGCACCCCCATGCCCTTCTAGGTCATTTAGTCAGTCTCCATTTCCAATTGCATTATTGTTGCTGCATTTACAACTGTACGTTATAGGAAATTAGAAAATTCTTAAGTTATTTTAGAAATACAATCTATATTTTTTATTTGAAATAAAAAATTCAATTCCCTGACATTCTACATTTTTATTCTGTTTTAAAACACAAAATACATTTATTTTAAAAATTAATATCTTTAAAACTTTGCATCTTTTATACTGTTTACAGTAATGTTTTCATATAATATCTCTATCACTAAAAGAAAAAGTAATATATCAAATGCAAGGATTGCATTTTGTTATCTTTCATTATCACTGGCAAAAACAATTTTTGTCTACTTCTTCACTAAAAACATACTATTTTATGCATTATTTGGAGCAATTTTCTAATAGAAATGCATATAGGATTTCTCAACTTTAACCAAACTTCAACAGTTTTGTATATTAAAATAATTTTTATTAAATTATGCAATACTTTTCATCTTGCTTTGTAAAATGTATTTATATCGACCTCTGTATTTTAAATCTCTGTATTTTCCATAGTACAGGGAAGTCAGAGTTAATAAAAGGAATCCCCAGCAATTTATCATGATTTGAGAAGCTTGTTGTTATACTAAATTACATTGAAATGCATCTGTAACAAATCTGGATTTAATTTGGTGAAAAAATTTTCTAACTAGCTTCAAGGCATGACCATTACTCAATAAAACACATCACTCAAAAGTAAGTGATCAGTTCCTACCAAAGGCTCTTCTAGATACATGAGCTTACGATCGTCTAATGTAAACCACCTCCATTTGTATGAATCACTAGCTCTTGGTCCAGTTTTGAACATCCACCCTTCTTTTAAAAAGTCCCTTGTCAGAAATTGTGACAATTCTAACTCACTCATTCCAGGATAGGCAACAAGTAACTGGTTGAGCTTTACATATCTTATTGCCATGTACCAATCAACAATTGCCTGTCAAAAAAAAGGTCATAATATATAATAAATAAATTAAACATAAGAGAAAATATTATGACAAAATTACAAATAAAAAATTCAGTTGCAAAAATGCTCCATTTTAAAATAACTGACTATGAAACGATGATGGCATTTTTTTAATAATGAGAATAATAATTAATCTTTAGTTAATCCTATTCCATTTATCATCAATAAAACAAAAAATCAGCATCAGGAACAGGTATATAAAAAAATTAATGTTTTAATCTTGAATATTTATAATATTAACATTGCATAACTATACAAAACTACTTCATACAATTTCATACAATTCAAGTTAATTCAAATTAAGACTATTTTTTTATAAATAGTTTAATTATATGTTACTTGTAATGTGGAAGAAGTGAAAACAGAATTTTATCTATAATAACTAAAGTATGCAAACAGAGGAAAATTTATACTATATTTAACTAAAAGCACTAAACAGCAATGAATAACTATAATTTGAAGTTTCAAAAACAAATCATTCTACTGATAATATGGAAATAATTAATATTTGTTTTGAAATTGTATTCAAAACAAACATAAGCTTCAGTTACTTTTTAACCATAATGAGCAATGAAAATCTGAAAATAAACAAACATTTTCTAGAATTATCCAAATTAAACAGAGAATTCTATACACAATATATAAGCATATATAAGCAACTAAATATAAGCAACTAATATATAAGCAACTAAAAATTTAAAACTAGAAAATGAAAGCATTTGCAAGATGGTACATTTGAAAACCTCAGGCACAAATAAACCTGGACACCAATAACTTCTAAGATTCAACTTTCGATAAACTGCAATTAGGAAAAGGTAGTTTTACAAAATGCACATAGCATACTCTGTCTGAATGTGATAGCTGCTATATGAAAGGCATCAAACTCTTTTTTTTTTTTTTTTTTTTTTTTAACGTTTTACATTTTTCTTTAATAATAAAAATTATGTAGAAATTCAAGTCAGTAAAAGCCTTTTTAGGGAAAATATTGCCATAAAACGTGTTTCATTAACAATAAAAATATTATAGTAAAATTATTAATTATTTATGATTATTATAATATTTTAATGATTTTTAGATCTCTATACTTGAATTAATGTGAAATGCTATTATTAGTAACATTTTAAAAAGTAAGAACAGTAAATTCACATAAGTTTCTAAAATTAACTGTGGTCTTTCTTTCCAAACTAAAAAATTTCCAAATGTTCACATTTCAAATTTTAAATTTATCCAATAACTTTAAAATTCATATGAAATGAAATGAAACAAAAACTTTGCATGTAGCTTAAGAAAAATGTTACATGCAGAGAAATTAAACTGTGGGGGGAGGGCAAATTAAGTAGACCCACAACAAATTTAGGTTTCCATACTAGTTTTAAAAATAGTTACTATATTTATAATGCATAATGCAACATATATCTCCATATGCTTTCTATCTGAAACACAAATATTCACAACAGAACAATGTATTATTTATAATCATTCATTCATACAGATATTTTTATTATTTAATTTTATACAGATATTTATATGTACAGACAAAAAAAAAAAATATTTGCTTACTGAGCCATTTGTGCTGTATACAAATATATTTCTAGTAGACCCATCTTTAACATAAGTAAGTTGTGCGCCATTAGGATTTCCAATTTTCTTTGGACAAAATGTCATGTTTAAATCTGAGACTTGAATTGTTGCTTTGGGTTCTTTGTGAGACTATAATTTAATGAAAGGAAAAAAAAAAAAAAAAATTATAGGACGTCCAGATTTCAGACTTCAGAACTGTATAATGTAGATGATCGAAATTTAACACACTTTATAACAGTTTCATATAAAATGTATTAACATACTTCCACCAACCATGTAAGTTTGTGCTTTATTTCACTTTATTAGTTATGTACTATTAATATAAAAGCACATCTTTCCCATTTTACCATGTGATTGCTAATTATGTAAGAGTACATTTTTTATGTTATCTCTTTACATATATTATCTTTTATTTAGTACGGATACATGTGTATGTAATAATAGCAAGGAAAAGACCGAGCAGTGTTGATGCAAACATAGATCCATATTGAAGAGGAAGAACTCTGATTGCATAGTATGTTAATGCGTTGAGATTGTAATATCTAAGAAACTTGGCAGTCGAAGCAGTTTTAATTCCATTTTCATTTTCCAGTTGACATTTGTGGCCACAATTCACTTGGCACTTTAGTCGTGCCTATTCAAGAACATTTACATTTTTAATACTTTTACGATAGGAAGTAAGCACAGCGAAACAGCATCTAAGTGGCACAGAGGCAAAAGCTGAAGTGCATAGTTATACAAGATGGAAGCACACAAAGAGAAAGGTTTTGGTTTGAGTTAAAAAATTCAGTTCCCAGTTATTACGTAATTAGAGCTGAGCAAGCAACGTAAAATGGAATGATCTAGAAATGATGCAATCGAGAGAAGTTATTATGATTTTTAAAACGGAGAGGGAGAATTAAAATTTTATTGTTACTTTAAATTATAATTTTGATTCACATAAGTTTTATCTTACATGTACATATATAGGTTGGCAACAGCCCTTTTTACACCTCATTTTAATCTGACTATCTCTCCTTTTTGTCCTAAAAGTAGAAACTCTCTATAATATTGTTTATAACTTTTTGGACTGTCTTTTCAATCCATTCCATGCTTGCTTATGTTATCCTGCTCCGATGCATACAGCTCTTATCCAATCAGATTAAAGAAACTTTTTACTATGCACTTTCCTCTTGCAAACACTTTTTTTCCCGCTTTCCTTTCTTGTAGCTAATGTGCATCCCTGTTGGTTTCTGTGTGTCTGTGCCTTATCTTAAGATGAGCTAAGCTTTCAAAAACTGTGTGACTGCATATTGCATCCATGATAATGTGTGAATCAAATAGTGTGTCTCTATAACTTCTTTATTCAATAATAAAATTATGTTGAAATTGGCCACATCCGTTTGCAAGTCTCTCATTTCATCTTTGCATAATAGCATCTCCAAGTAATTAAGATGCTGATAACCCATCTCATTTTTTAACAGCTACCTCTCCAATAATCTTATTAAACTTTATAATTAAAATTAGCAACAGGCTCTTAATTCTTCATTTAAATTTGGGTATTTTCTCTCTCTGTTCTAAACGAAGTACTTGCTTATAACTTTCTCTAGATTCCTTCATTTCTAGATTCACAGCTACCTATGCTAATCCATAGCCATAATTACAGCTGCTCCATATCATATGACATTTACAATAATGTTTTGATGAAAAAACTTACATAAACTTTCAGCCAATAAAAGTTTTAGAGCATTATTAATTATTCAGTCAAATAGTAATCAAACCAGAACTAAATCTCTTTAAATTGAGATTTGGTCCCGAACACATCGCACTTTGCTCCCGTTTCTCAGCCTAGCTAGATTGCTGCTTTTCTTTTTTTCACAAAACTACTTAAAGTGTAAATGTTATATTCAGAAACAGACAGGATTAGTCTGCCAAGTTATTCTTGGCTACAGAATATTTAAATCAAAGAAATTAAACCTACTACCATTGCTTCTTATTAAATCTGCCTCACTTGCACATCTGCTCTTCATTCTACTGTATGCTTTGACATCTATAACTGCAATCACATTCCCATAGCATCACACAAATAAATAGCAAGAGCCATGCAGTGAGTGTGATCAGATCAGGTGGCAAATTTTTTAGACTTTAGAGAAATAACAAACAGCAAAATTTAGGGATGGCAACATTTTTGGAATTTAGGGGATGCAATGAGCAGCAGAATTTAGAAGCAGCAACTTTTTTTTTTTTTTTTTTTTTAATTTAAGGAGGTGTTGGGCAATAAAATTTGGACCAGTCAGCAAAATGTCTAGTGCTGGCCCTATACATACGAGTATACGTACATAAATTCATAAATATTTGAATATGTTATAATATAGATATAGATACATGTAAGATATAATACACATAAATTTAAATTTTAACTTTAATTTAAAATACTCCTTTACTCTGTATGTCTTTTCCCCTTTCTGTCCTAAAAGCAGCAACTGCTTATAGTAAAATACTCAAATTGAGTCATTTCAAAATTAATCATTGCCATATGCTTCCTATATAACTTTATTTCTATACAGGGTGTTTCATAGATCATGGGACAAATTTGGATGGGTGGTGAAGTGTACTAAAACATGCATTTTTTTTATAGGAACGTAGGGTCTAAAGTGACAGGTTAAGGCAGGAACGCAAAAAACGACACGAGAGGAAAATGTGTGTTTATGTACAAAATCAACGCAAAGTGCTTTTTGTAGCAATACAGTATTCACAATAAATGTTCAAAATTGCAACCATCAGCAGTAATACATGCTTGGTAATGTTGCAGAAAGGATTGATGAACATTTTGAAAAACAACAGGCATCGAAGCTAGATCGCTGCTTTTCTTACTGCCAAGTTTTCAGAAGTTCAAGAACAAGCACATCTTTTGCAGCAAGGTATTTTCAGCTGCATACGTCAATAATAAAAGGAATGTTCAAATGCCCTCAATGATTGCTATTATCTTCATGCATCAGCATCCAAATCATTATACACATATATGTATTACAGCATATATTTTCTCAGTTTGAATAACTGCTAATTTTTCTTAGGAAATATAAAAGATGTACCTTTTATTATACTCATTTCTTTTATTATTTTTCTAAAATTATAACATATACAAGTAAAAATATTTTTAAATGAATAAATAAAATACATTAATATTTCAAATATCATGGCTTAATGTAGTGAATACATTTTTGGTTATAGAAATTTATCTAAAGTGTAATTTTAAATTGAAATACTCTAGTTTCCATTAGTTATCAGTGGGTTTTACAGGTGTTAACTGTAGAGTTAAATACATTAGTGTAACACAGACAGCATTTTTGAGCAGCCCCAAAAAAGGCTTTCATGAAGATTTTAAAGAAATCGGTTAAAATCAAAAAAGGATTCCATATTGTTAATCACAGCATTTTCCTAGTTAAAAAATATTAATTATTAAATGTAAACTGTATTTTTAAATACATTTTTTTTCCACTTCTTACCTCTTTTACATAATATTTTAATGTTCCTTCAGTTTCACTAAGTACAAATTTTCTTTGCTGGAACCTCCCATCTTCCTTTCCCCTCTTCCACAGAAACCCTTCCATGGAACCATTTGTGTATGTTTGTCGGTCCACGTGAATAAACTCTTCACGTTCATATTTGGCTCTTATAAATTGCTCTTTTAGAACACTGAAAAACATATTTCTTAATTAATGCAAAATATAACAAACACAGATTAACTACAAACAAAACAAAAAAATGATACTTGCATATTAGCAGAACCACTCAGCTACATTTTTGTGATTTTTTACAGAAGCAACAGGATGGAGACTTATAATTGTGGTGGTGTGGTGGTGGTGTTTTTAATTATGGCAAAGCACACTAGGGCTATCTGCCTAAGGGGAGGGATGCCTTTCGTGGAGGACTTTCTAAGGGAAACTGACTCGTATACAAGTTACACATGGGGAAAACCACGAAAACGCCCATGCAGCCAGCCCGTTCGCGGGATTCGAACCTCGGACCGAACTACCAGTGTTCAGTGTCTTTACCGCTCGGCCGCTGGTGGGCCGACTTATAATTGTAAGAATTTATTTATTACACATTTACATATTATTACATACATATCTCATGTTTTAATTAGGCATTTATCATGAAAATAAATAGATAAACCTGCTTACAATCAAGTTTTTTTTTTTTTGTTGTTGTTGTTGTTTTTTTGTTCTCTTTAGAAATTTTTCTACAAAGTACTGTATTACTGCAGAAATTTTATTGTAATGTGTATTTTCAAAATTAAGGGGAAAAAATTCTCGATGAATTTACAAAAACTGTTGGAACTTCGAATAGAACATAATGAATGCACTGCTTATTAACTGCAGATTTATTATGCAAACTTATGCCAATATGTAACTACCAAATGTATACATATTACAAAAATTCCTAACAGAATACTGCTTCAGTTAAATTTACAAATACAAGTAGCAGTACTAGACAATAATGTATATGTATAAATACAGATAAATATTTTTTAGCAGAATAAATTTTTATGAGTTTTTAAAGGCATTATTTCAGATAATTTCAGATTTCATTTACATGTAGTACTGATAATATTAAACATGAAAATTTTGTTAAATTAAAAGATATAAAATAAACATCATACGAAAGAAAATAATAACTGTACACACAATCTGCATTATATACATAATTCAAAGACTATTACAATTCACCATTATTATGTTAAATATACTGTATACATGTTTATCATACAATTTCATACTGCATATCAATTACTCAGATTCAACAACTAAATTTTTTGGACAAATCAAATCTAAATGTGAATACAGTCAAAAGTCCTTAATCCGGACTCGTTGGGACTTCGGCGATTCCGGATTATCGATCATCAGTTTTAATCTAGTAAGATATGGCATGGAGAAATTATAAAATTAAAAATATGAAACCGTAATTTATGAAATAAAGAGCAATTATGATCCAAAGGGTATCAAAATTTAAAAAAAAAAAAAAAAAAAAAAAAAAAAAAAGCTTTTATTTGTTTAACTTTATTAAACATTTCTTTCAACGCGTGCATGCGTAAAGCATACATTACGCATAGCTGAAATTAGAAAATTGCAACCAGAAAACTACTTGATTTGTATTCGTGATATTTATAATGATGAGGAATTTGATTTAAATCATATCAAAGATGGAGTACATCGAGATGAAATACTACATTTAGTAAGGAATTATAAGCCGAATAAAATAAAAACATCTGCCCTGAAGATAAGGACAGTGCTGACAGATCAACTTCCCCTTCATTTTCGGAATGGTTAGAAAAACAAAGGAGCCTTTATCCATTTTTTGCAGCAATTTCACTTTTTGCTTGATGGACATTGAAACATGCTTTTCCTTTGTAGATTCCTTTGGCAGCTCCAGCATCGGAAATTCTATTTGACATAATCGAAAGTTCCAACTTACTTTTATAAAATTGCTCTAACAATCTGCAAAAAATAATAAGCTGGATCCAATTCGAAGATTAAGGAACAACGCAATCTGCAACATTAACTGAAATAGATAATTAGAAAATTTTAGCTTAGCTTATACCGTCCGTTATACATTAAACGCGTATTTGTAAAAGTATTTATTCGTAAACGCGCACACGGATATTCGCAGTCGTAAAGGTCTTGCGCGCATGCGTCAACACGACACATGAGCAGAAAGTTTGTAGCTTTGAGGTCCGGATTATAGATCATTCCGGATTATGGGTGTCCGGATTAACGACTTTTGACTGTATATAATAAAACATTTCTTTAATCTGATTAGAAAGCTTACCGCATTGCAGCAGAATTACATAAGCAAACATGAAACAAATTATTTATAAAAGATGCAGTCTAGTAAAATTACTATAAATAATATCTACTTTTAGAATAGAAAAGGAAGATAACAAAATTAAAATAGGGGATAAAAAGGACTATTGCCAAATTAAAGTTTATATTTTTCTTTTATACTCGTATACAGTCAAAAGTTGTTAATCTGGACTCATCGGGACTTCGGCGATTCCGGATTATCGATTTTTCTGAATTATAGATCATCAGTTTAAATCTGGTAAGATGGCATGCAGAAATTATAAAATTAAAAATATGAAACCGTAATTTATGAAATAAAGAACAATTATGATCTAAAGGGTATCAAAATTTACAAAAAGAAAAAGCTTAATATTTATTTGTTTACTTTTAAACATTTCTTTCAATGTAAGTTGTTTAAGTTGCTTCGTTTCATGTGATAATACTTTCTCTTTAATTCTATAAACAGACATAATTTCTTCTTCAGTTACAAAGTTCCGCTGTTCAAGTCCTATAATTGCTGTGTCGAGAATACCGACTAATTTGTCAATCGAAATTTTTTCGTTTTCAATAACTTCTGTGTCACTTTCTTCACTATCGGAAGCGAATTATAATGCCGAGGAATTTGATTTAAATCATATCAAAGACGGAGTACATCGAGATGAAATACTACATTTAGTAAGGAATTATAAGCCAAATAAAATAAAAACATCTGCCTTGAAGATAAGGATAGTGCTGACAGATCAACTTCCAATTCATTGCGCACTGCGTTGTTTCCCTCCCCCCGCAGAGCAGCGTGAAATTGATAAACATATTTTGGAATGATTAGATAATCAAAGGATATGCCTTTATCCATTTTTTGCAGCAATTCCACTTTTCTGTTTAATGGACTTCGAAACATACTTTCGCTTTGTAGATCCTTTACATATTAGTAAATATATATCGGAAATTCTATTTGACATAATCGAAAGTTCAAGATTACTTTTATAAAATTGCTCTAACAGTCTGCAAAAAATAATAAGCCGGATCCAATTCGAAGATTAAGGAACAACACAATCTGCAACATTAACTGAATTAGATAATTTTGGCTAAGCTTATACCGTCCGTTATACATTAAACGCGCATGCGTAAACATATTATGCGCATACGCACATGCATATTCGCATCCGTAAATTTCTTACGCGCACGCGTAAATGCCTCGACGTATGCGCAGAAAGTTTGTAGCTTTGAGGTCCGGATTATGGGTGTCTGATTTAACGACTTTTGACTGTATTTTATATCTCATACATAATATGATGCATTACTATTGTTACAAGTTCATTTCATGAAGCTTCATGCATTGTTAGTGTTGCAACCATCTAGTCAGATCTCATGTCAATTACATATAATTACCAGTTACGCCAACAGAATTTAACATGCACAACCCAGTCAAATTTATAAAATATTTCCCCTATATAAATAGCTCTTTTCATTCCTACAATACCACATTATATATTAATATTGCACACCTCTCACCCTTCACCTGAGGCATTTGCCTCACTCATTGTACCCTTAGTTCATTCTTGCTGATACACAATTCAAAGAATTTCATATATTGTGAAGGTCTCCCAAAAGATACACAAACAGCAGAAATTAAAAATTCTTGCTTCATATTAAATACAAACCATGATCAATCACTAAACAGCCCACATTAAATTATACATTAACTATATAAGTCTAAAATAAAATCAACTTTTAATTTACTATTAAAAAATATGAATCATACTCAGGATCAGTATCACAGGGCCTTCTGTAGCAAAGAGGAACATACATTTCGTATTTTGCTTTTGCTTTCATATTACCCACTTCTTCCATCATACTTAGCTGATCTGTATCCCAGTTATCCAAAAGAATTGATTTCACTTTGCTTATGTGTGAGCCTAGATTTCGGTGAAACCCAGCACAAGAAGTACAAATAAATACACCAATATTGTAAGATCCCCATTCTGGATCTAAATATAGGGAAAAAATATTCACATGATTAACATAATTCAACAAATTCTGAGTAAGATTTAGAATAAAAGTAAAAATGCATAATTCATTTTGTAATAAATTTTTGTCTAAAATAATATTAAAAAAGAAAAAAATAATAATGTTTTGCATTTCTGAAACTAAGTATGTTAGTTAATAATTTTGATAGATCAGAAACTAATCTATTTATTAATCTAATTTACCAACACAGTTCAATTATTATGCTATAATTTAAATTAAAGTATAATTCAATGTCTAATAAAATTAATTAGCATTGTTAAATTATTATGCTTTAAAATATCAGGAAAATAATTTAAATTAATTTATAACTATTTAATGCATAAAAAAAAAATTTTTTTTAAAAAGAATTTTTTTTTAATCAATCAATTCTTTTTAAGATTTAAAATGACTTTTTCGATTTAAATATTTTTATATGTATTTATCATTTATGTCAATACTAATTATATTTATTATTAAAACTTTCATGCCACAAGCCTAAAACATATTAAATTTTTAAAAATTAAATTTAAAAAACAGGTTTTATTAATAACTAAAATTTAAAAATAACCAGTAAAGAAACACAGATAGAAAAAATCAGTTTAAAATTCGCATCTTATACACAAAATTGTGACATTCTATGCCATTTCTAACTTGCATGTTTCTAATTTTTTAATGAGCATTGCTATTTAGTTAAATGGGCTAAAACTATAAGCTCTGATGCTGCCCTAACTTGATCTTTAATTTGCTGTGCACCAGGAAAAATTTTGAAAACATTATTTCAATTTTTTTTTTTTTTTTTTTAAATGTAGATGCACATTTTCGATGCAGCTGTGAATTTCTTACATAGTACATTGTTTGCCAAGCCTAGAAGACTTATGAAGAATAGTAATCAAGACATAAACTTCATAAATTCCTATTCTGCATACAGTTTTGTAAACCTTTTGTAACTTTTTAATAGTATGTAGTTAAAAGCAGTGCCAAATATTCTATTTTTAGCATATATAATTTTGATTTATTAGAGTTTTCTAGACACCAATGAATTAAAATCTTAATTTAATATTGATTTTAATCACCAGATAAAAATAACAATATCCTAAATTTCAACTTAATTTTTTACATTATATAAAAATAGAATCAAAATTTAATAACTATCACACTTTCATTAAATATATGGTTCCCTCATTTGATACATTCTACTAATTTATATTAGGAATATAATCAATCTCTTTAGTAAATAAATAATTCATATATATTCATTTATATATATGTATGTTCCCCTCATTTTGGTACATTCTACTAAATTTATATTAGAGATATACAAATAAATATTTCTTTAGTAAATAAATAATTCATATATATTCATTCATATATAACGGAATTTAACTGAATAATTATATTTAAAAGATTTGCTTATTTAACATCTATTATTTATTTGCAAAAATGAGTAAATAATACAAAATATAATATTTTAATTTCTTTGAACTAAAAATTACACTACATATATATAAAACACAAGCAATACAATAGCAATCAATTCTGATTAATGGGGAAAAGATATGTTTTTCTCATCAGTTTTTCGCTTTAAAAAATTAAATTTACTTATTTCAGAATGACGGAAGAAATGCTGTCATAAATTATTATTGTAAAATAAAAGCTGGTTACAGGAAATTAAAAAAGCACAAGAAAAATGGTTAGGATAACAGCACTGATCGCAGATGATATCTACCCAATGAATTCTGTTTAAAAAAAAAAAAAATCCATCATTTTCTCCAAGTTTGGAGTCTAACATTGCTCAAGTTCTTTCATAAATACTGTTCTTTAATGAACGGTACTTCCTTTTTTACATACATTTATCAGTACTTTTTTTTTTTTCCGTATTTTTAAATTTTCTAATTTTACTGATTTAATTTATGCAATCAACTGAATTTATTTTCATGATTAAACTGCTGGAAAATACAAATAAATTGTTAATTGTGCTTTCCAATTAATGACAACATCAGTTATTCCTTTTTGTGGATGTTGTCCCTAATATTACCCAATTAATTAGAAGTTTGCATAATATTATTAATATGACAATCATACCAATAACACATTAGTATTAAATCAAAGTGCCTGCATTACATACAAGTCTGAAAAAACACTGATTTTACCAATATTATAATTATGATTTGTTAACAAACATCATCAACTGTTGGCAATTTCTCCATTTTTCAAAATTTGATAGGCATCCTAAATTTGAGTTCCATTAACTTCAATGCTGAGAGATATTATTGGGAAAGAAAAGAAGCTGAAACCATGATACTTTCTTTACATAATATGCCAATGTCCTCAAATAAATTATGACTAATCTTAAACATAAAATGATAACCAGCAAGCTTTCTTAATGCTTCAGAGATGCAAGAGATGCCCCAATGCAGACCTGTCTCTGGGAGGTCAAGTGCCTGCATGCAGTTTTTGTTTGCGTATCTCTATATAATTTAATATTTTATTTTGACCTTTAGACAAAAAGGCCTTTTTACTGCCTTTCTGACAAAAAATGAATGGATAACGTATGTATCCTTGCACAGGTTACTTCCCCTTTACAGGACACCGACCAAATTCAGCACCCCTTAATTTTGCAGTCTGCATGCAAGGCATTAGCTGCATACCAGCCAGGAAAGGGCCTGGTTCAATGAATCCAAGGGGTAGTATTGCCTAATTTCAGAAGCACTGCTCTGAAGGATTCAAAATATATATTTTTTTTAATTATTCAAGTATGAAACTATGAATGATTTATGAGTTAACAGATTATTAGAATAGTAACCATTGTGATTAATGAATACAAAAGAGTTTAGAAGCAGAAAATTAAGATATTGCTCAGAATATACAAACACATGTTTTTAAGGTACTGTCTCCAATAAAACAGCATATTTAACAAAAATTGTTTTGCTTTAAAAAAATGCCACTAAAAAATTGAAAGTAAAAATGTAAAAATATCCTCCATAAAACTTTTTTCAAAAGATATATAACAAATAAAAATTACTCAGCAATAATGAATGGAATAACATAAAATATTCTAAAGACATCTATTTAAAAAATAAATAAAGTTATAACTTTAGAATAAAATATGAAAAGTTACTATTTTACTTCTTGCAGAACTATCAAACTGTTTGTAAGCCCTGAATTGGGAGAGACAGTAAATGCTTAATTGCATTTCCTGCAAGAAAAAGCAATTTTAATCTACTGACAGTTCATTAAAAAAAAAAAAAAAAAAAAAAATGCAGATTTTACTTTTAATATATCCTTGGTGTTTCTGTGTATAGGTCATCAGAATCAGTTGAATCCCTTTAACATCATAGCTATGAGTTTGATAAACGCTAAATTGTAATTATTATATTAAATTTTAGCCCTAATTTAAGTCCATCAAAATTAAAAACATGACCCAGGTATCAAGAAATTCTTAATAGAGAAGAAATACCACATCATTTTTAATAAAGATACATCTAGTTCAAAGTTATACCTTCAATAATAAAATCTAAGAGAAATTTATTGCCCCTCGTAAAAAAATACTCATATAGTTTTTAATGTTCAAAATTTCACACGGCAACGGCAAAGCCCATTATTTTGGAAAAGCCTGTCATATAATAAAGAATGCATAAATAAACATTTCCCAATATTTTCTGATATCACTTATTTAGTAATCACGCAATATTTTTCCTGAAACATCTATTTAGTTAATTGTATATTATTATTTTTCTGCTCGTCATATAACACCTACTTTAATATGCACTTAGACTATTCGTTATACTAGCATGACTCAGAGCTGCTGGCCGCGCCTATTAAATGACAGGATGTGATTTAAATAAGCAATTGTTTACGTTTATAAAGAGGTGATTATATTCATTAATAATTAAAATACTGCAGCAAATTGAGTACAGCATGTACCAATAATCAAAGCAAAATGTATAAAACATTCGTAAAATATACAAATACGTTTGAATATTTTGTTTGTTTACATGTCTGGAAACCAGTTTAAAAAAAATTCGCTAACAATGGGCATTGTTATGTAATTTTGTATGATAAGGAAGATAATACGGTAACAGAACGTTAATAAGGCAATACTAAAATAAATAACTATTAACATTATTCTCGTGCATCCTTTTCCTTATGCACTTAACTAAAATTGCTATTTAAAAGGCTATAGAAGGAAACAATAGAGAATGATTTTGGTCAATATTTTACACTTACTTTTTTTGCCACATTCTGCGCATGTGTTATTTCCCGTTCTCTTCACTAATTCTTGCAAACGTCTACGTCTTGCTTCAGCCATTTCAGGTGAAAGATATGATGAATTATGATTTTTGTTCTTGAAGAGCTTATGAGTCATATGTGGTTTACCATGCTTACTGCGCCCAGTTGGGCGGAAGCCATGTTGAAACTTCCTGATTTTTCCCCCGGTAGATGGCAGCAGGGTCGGTCCGCCTGCTTCTGACAATCCAGTTAATTCCTCTGCATCTTCATTGGAATTAGTTTGTGTTTTCCAGCAGTCAAAAATGCAGGCAATATTGCAGAGCATAAACATTGGAAGAGGTGCATTTATTAAAAAAGTGAAAAGGTGAGGTAGCTATTTCATTTACATTCATGCCTTACGTCCTTGCCTGAGAAAGGATGGAAGGAAGAGGAAATACCACGTCCGGCATTGGATGCCATATTTGTGGTTTAGTATTGGCTAGAGGAGGAAGTGTTCGTGTTCCGAGGAAAAATGTGCGTTCCATTGCCGGCCTGCCACTGCTGGCTTGGGTATTACATCCAATGCTAGACTGTAAAAGTAATTCCCTTTTTAATACCTTATTATAGGTAATTTCTTCATGTTAAACTCATTATTTTGCATGCGCAATAATGACGCAAGCAGTCAGTTATGGTTCTTGATATTCAAAACCAGTATTTACACACTTATTAACAAACACTGTGTTTATTCAGCGTTACAATTATTATTCCTCTAAAACTACAATTTACTGTGTAGTTATAGCGATAACACATGACTTGCGCTATTCAAGATGAACCATAATTTTACGAATATTCTGTATTCCGAAAGTCGACTTGAATACAAATCTACTCCTTTTTTTTTTTTTTTTAAATATTATTTTGTATCAGAAATATATCAAACCAAACCTTTAGAGAAATTTAGTTACCACGAGTTTTGTCTTCCCTTCTTTTGAACAGTGTGCACTGCATAAGATGCACATATCTCAATATATGAATTTGTATGAAATTGTTTTGCTCTTAAAGCTCTACTCTCACCTTCAAATTTGATTTGCAGTGGCGTTGAAAGTCTTCTTTTATTTAATATTCTTTTTTTCAAATTCTATGTAATTTATTGCTGCATTTGCAAGCAAATTATTGCTATGCAATTTAGCATGAAACCCTTGAAACGGCAAATCAAGAATCAACATTATTTAATCTTAGTTAATCAGTTTAATCTAAATTTTAGTCGGGCATTGTTAAGATGGGTGTAGATATAGCTTTAAGACACACACACATACACAAAATAATAATAATTATCATAGTAACAATAATAGTTAGTAAACAAAGAGACAAAAGTGATATTATACTTCATGTGCAGTTTGATTTTTCAACTACGCGTGTTGAATTTCGCTTAAAAATTTAATCACAATAATCTTTAAAAATACTACTGCGGTACTTTACATATAATCGTGTAAAAGTAAAATAACGTGCTTCAAATACCTTTTAAAGAAAATACCAGAGACTATTTTTCTGGGAATTATGTCAAATATTTCAATTAATTATTGTTCATATTTTCTAAATTAACACTGCCTGTATGGGTTAAAAATCTAGGCATTATGTCTACATTAAAACACACATATATACATAAAATAACACTTATTCTTATAGCATTATTAAATTATACATGCTTATGCTTATAATCTTATATTAATTAATATAATTCAGGAGTTCTCAGCTAGGTAGGATTTCCTCGAGGCGCGAATTTGATAATTTCTGGGGGTTGTTGTTAAATTAATAAAGCACATTTAAAAGGAATCTAGATTTAAATAAATGTGTATGCATTTTTAAAGTTTTGAAAATGAAGGGGGGATAATCTTTCAGAAGTTCTGAAACAGGAGGCAAAAAAGAACCCCTAGTATAGCTGAAAAAAAAAATCTTTTCCTACTCTTTCGAAAATTTAAATTATTTTTTAAAAATGCGCATATAAAATTCATATGAATACACCCCCACATATGTAAAACATTCGGAATTTAATGATACTACAGACTTTGAGACCCTTAAAATTTAGAAATTTTTCTTCATTTTTTTTTTTTTTTTTTTTTTTAAATCTTGACACACACACACACCTTCAAAAATTTTAAAATAAAAAATGTTTCTGTAACTAATTTACGATGTTGCAAGTCTGTAACCGGTATTTCTTAGAACTGGAAGAAAATGGTAATAGAATTTGATGAGTAATAATAGCATTTAAAAACAAAATTAATTTTTTATATAGTTAATGTGTTTGTATGCTTATCATTTCAATTCTTCTGTCTGTTATCATATTCATTTATTAAATGTGCATAAAATTCGGAAGAAAATATCGTGTTAAATTAATACATTGTGGATTGATATCAGAAATACATTAAAAATAATGACTTTCATGTAAATTAACTAATTTAATATTTAATGATAAATAGTATATGAATAACGTTTACTAACTTTTTGTTATAATAATTTTTAACATTGTTTAGGTTTTCAATATCCTATGCTTATAATAATATCCTATTATTATCCATAATATGATAATATAACAATCATAATATATTAACCTTGTAATAACCATGATCCATTCGAATGAAATAATACTAGATAATTATTAAATTATTGCTGACGCAATTATATATCAATTACTTAATATTATATCTGAAACCTATTGAATAATAACATGGTATAATTTACACTGCTTCGATAATGTTGGTGTTCCTTCTGTTCATCGCGTTTATGTACAGATAGATAGGTGTCCGCGATCACTGGTGAATATAATCTACTTTTCCTAAGTGTTGTGTTTATTTTAGATTCGAAGGACACAAAACAAATATTTTTAGCTTGACATCCGACTGAGAGTCTCCTTACCTTAGTAAACATGATATTTTTGTTCATACTGACGTAAGAACCTAAGTGCGCATACGTAAGTTCCAACGTTTGAAAAATCTAGAAAATCATGGAAGAGAATTGTTTTACCTAAATTAATCTTCTTTTAATTTAATTTTGGATTATGGAGACACTAGATTACTCCATTAAAGTATTTATTGAGTAATCTAGTGTCTTTTGATTTCAGTTGAAATAAATCAAATCCTAATTGTCTAAGATGGTAGTTAGAATAGTTAAAATAATGGAAACATTCACACCAGTAGAAGTCTTCGTTTTTATTCCTAATTTTAAACTGTTTATATTTTTGATATGAGATACATTGGGGGCCGAGGAAAGCAGAAAATTTTTGAAAAATTTATTATTTTTATCTCCGAAATTTATGTTAATTCTATTTTTTAACATGTATATTTATTGCTGAAAACATTATAAAAATTTTGGCAACACTTTCGACATGACAAGACTTTGAAATAAAAGACTTGTAAAAATATATTTTTCTCAGGAAAACAGATTTATGTTCTAAAAATATAACAGTTTTTGTTTCTTTCTTCCCATTTAATAAACATTATATTATGAGTTAAAATATTGCTTCATTAAATTATTGCATTGGACTATGAGTTAAAAAATTAATTTCTTCAATTCTATTTGGAATATAAAATGTACCGCGAAATTATGAATTAAATAATCACTGCATTAAAATTCATATTATTATTTACATGCGTTGTGTCCCAATGGTGCATTATATTTCTATTGATAACTTTTTTGGGAGGTTAAAAAGAAATAGTTCCGAGTCAACGGGAAAAGTACGCTTGGAATCGATTACCAATAACAGAAGAAAAGAACGGGGGGGGGGAGGAAAGCTTGTGCATACAATCTGCTACCTAATCAGTTTGAGCAGCTGTTCAGCGGATAAATCAGTTAAGCGTAAATACCAGACATGATGAAACAGGAAAATTCAATCATACTTTAGCCTCTAAAATGAGGCATAAATTTATTTTTAAAATTCTCGTATAATGTGTGCATAGGCACATTAATTTTCACAATAGGAAAAAAAAAAAGAGAGAATTTCGCAAGAATATTTAATCAAAAAAGAAACTTTCGTATTTATTTGAAAAAGGAATAAATGAATAGATAAAATAAAGTAAAATAAAATAAAATAAAAATGAAAATCACAGTTTTCGTACTCATTTTAATCAAATAAACTACGTATGAAAAAAATAATAATTAAAAGCTAATTTCGTTGTAATCTCAATGTATGTTCCTTCACTCTTTGTCTGTAACTATGATGTGACGGGTACTAAGAGATCTTTCATCATTCATGCTATTAGCGTAATTACGATTTTCTGAATAGCTGCCTTTTCGTAGTTATTTAACAGAATTTGATGCTTTACGAATGTGTATGTTTTTACTGGCCAATTTATTTAAGTTATTGTTTATGAAGATGTTAGTATCTATCAATGAACTAGCCTTTTGGAATATCTTTATAAAATGTCATTTTAAATAATTTTTGCAATAATAAGATTGGCTTCAAAGCTAAAGTAAGAGTGCCCAAGACTATGGTAAACAAACAGCTTGCAAATTTCTTTGTAGGGTTCATCTGTTGCTTTGGATAGCAAAGTATGCCATGTATAGAGTTAATTTATTCTAACGCTTCTTTGCTGCTGCCATTAACATCATTTTGGTTTTCTGATCAGTTTTCTCATTCTCATCAGAGCTTAAATTGCGCCGGCTCACGTACTTCTTAGTTTTTGGGATAAATCATAATTCTAGTCCGAGCCCTAAATAAGAAGTCTCCCGCACTTCTTCTATATAATTAAGTAACAATTTCAGTAAAAATCTGAGCTCGAAAATTTTATTATTAAATTTTAATTATTTAATTACTTTAGTAATGAAGAAAGTCCAAGGGCTTTGTTCCTGAAGGACTAGTGTTTTCCTTTTGCGATTTTGCGTTGAAAACTTTAAAAGGCTGTATTAATTTTCAAATCGTTGCCACCATATACTATCACCCTGTATTATATTTGAAGAAATTAAATAATGAAGAATCTACATAAATGTATGTATGTTTCTCGCATTGTGATAAAAAACGTTACCTAGAGCCATCCAATTTTGAATGACGTAACCCTACTGCGAATATGGACATCTGAAAGTCCAAATTTGAAATTTAGAATTTGTTTTATTATCGATTTCATATTTTCTAAAACTTTAACAAATTTTTGATTCAAAAACTCAACAATTAAAAGCGAGCAATGGCAACAGTCTACGGGGGCGCGGAACTGTGTATCTCTGGCGCGGAACTTTTTATCTCTGGCGCGCGGAACTGTGTATCGGAAATTATAAAGATATGCTCATTTTAAAATTATTTTGCGATATTGCTGTTAAACTGAATTTTATGGTTTAAATGCAAAGAACAAGATATTTAATAAATAAAGGTAACACACAAAACGTTAAAATAAATCCCCTTTGGACTTAATTAAAAATCTAAAACGCCCCTTTAGACGTAATTTAAAATCTGAAACCTTTAAGATTTTTTAAAAAAGTTATTTTTCTATTTATTATTCCAAAGGGTCAATTTGTCCAGAAGGACTGTTAATTTTGTTTTGGCATTTTTTGTTGTTTCCCTTTTCACATTGTTGTCACCAGTATTAGAGCTCTGTATTCCATTTAAGGAAATTA